GCCTCCAAAGCAAGCAGCACAGCAGCCCCAGCATGGGCAGAAGCACTGACCTCACCGCAGTACTCAGAGATGAACTCATTCTTCTGCACAGATTCCTTGATGAAAGTCCCCCAGCCGGCGACATCCGACGGTGCCAGCAACAAATGCTGGAGCCAAGGTGAAAAGGAAACAGTTACAGTCGGCAGGCCCACTGCCTCCCAGCACACAGACATCACACCCTGTGCATCAGGCAGGCCAGAAAGCAACAGCAAAGAGCCTTCCACTGCCCGGCACAGTTGCACACGCTGGGGTTAGGGCAGTGCCCCAGGGACAGGCGTGCTGTGCTGGCTGCCACGCTCGGGGTCCCAACATCACGGGGTCGAGTAACTCCGAGGAGCAAAGGGGAGCCAGTGTCTGCCCAGCATCCCCTGGTTTAAGGTGACATGTGGCTCCTTACAGACTATCAGGTTGTAGCACCATTAGGCTGGAGCTGTACATTACTTGACACCCCCAAATTTGCACCTTTCTCTAAATTTTGGTCTTTTTTATGTGCAGTCCCTTGCCCTGATCAGCAGAATTCAAGACCTAACCCTTCTCTGGAGTCACTTTTTATACTCCCTCGCTCCCACCCTTCCTCATGTAACTCCCATCTCCTGATTTTCACATCCATAATCCATACTCCAGATCAAGTACTACAGAAGCCTGGGGCAGAGCAGCTTCTCTTCCAGACCTCCTCACTCACCCCCGCACACCTTCTCCCATGCAGCAGGAGCTCTGTTTATCAGCTCTACCCTGAGGCAGCCCCTTGCCAGCCATCCCAAGCCATGCTGCTGTCAATACCTTCTTGAGACCTCGCTGGATACTGCAGTTCTTGCAGGAGACCACCTTGCAGTCCCAGTGCTCCGAAGCCCCACAGGTCAGGCAGAGGTCTGGATCGCACTCCCGCACAGCCAGGTAGCATGGGCACTGCTTGGTGTTGCACTGGGTTTTACAGCGGCAGCCTGGGAAGCGGTTCTGACCTGCAGCAACACAGCCCACAGTTTTGCACCATGAGGTTTCTCAGCCCCACAGGAACACAGAAGCCCCTCCCGAGCCAGGTCTCACCCTGGCAGGCACAGAACTAAGCCTACCCACAACCAAGGTGCCTGCCCACCACCCTGCTAACATCAGGAAAGTGCCTTTGTGCTAATGAAGAGCTCTACAGCCACTCCGCTCTGGGCAGCAGAGACAGGAACCCCCAGACCACCTTCCTGCCCCCTGAAGTCACCAGGACAGCACTCCCGACGAACACAACGAGACAAGGAGAACGTCAGGCACCCTGGGCACCCAGGAGCTGGAAGCAAATCACAGCAACACTCTGCCTGCACAGAAGCTTTGAGCATTGCTCACACCTAGCAGAGCACAGCCCATGCACAGGGTCCTTCCCATCTGCCTCTTGGGACTAATAATGTGCAGTTTGAAAACAAACTAACTCAGATAATATAAACACAAGAGATCAGTACAGAGAATCTTGGAGCCCGAGGTGGCTCCCTGTCACCCTGTAGTCCTTCCAGCCCCAAGCTGTGTAGTAACCCTTAACGAATCCACCCTCAGAAGCCCCACCGACGTGGTTAAGTGTGGATATCTCCATTGCAGAGCTGGGAGTGGAAGCCTAGAGAGGAAAAATAACCATGGCAGAGCAGTGACCCAACTCCCACCCTAACTGCTGGCCACATGTGGTGCTCTCAGGGAACCAGCAGCATCACCCACAGGTTGTTGACGCTGGATACAGACATGCAGACAAGCATTTCTCTAATGAGCACGCATCTCAACTGCTGAGAGTCACAGGACAGCATGGAACGGTTTCCCCTTAGACTTTGGCAGACTGCTAATCTCACTGCTGCAGATGGACTGAGCAGCAAATGCAGGAATAAAGCAGGCCTCCAGCAAGTCCCAGCTCTGCACCCTCCCTCTGGTCTGTGTCAGGAGAGCTGGCTGCTTTCCTGCCCAACAGTCCTAGGTTTCTCCTTACAGTCAGGGTTGCACTGGCAGAACTTCTCACAGAAATTCTGAGTCATGATGCAAGGGCAGGAGCTGTCGCAGGGATGCTCAGGGTGGTCACAGGGCTGGTAGTTGTACACCTGGGTGGGTGAATTATCTAGAACAAGAGGAGGAATGCCCGGATTAGAAGCTGCAAATTGCAGAAACATGTAAAAGCAGCACGCCCAGGGCTCTGGAGCAGGGAAGGTGCAAGCTCCCCATTTGCCTGCAGAGGGCAGGGAGCCCAGCAGCACTCAGCTCCCACAGGCACATGGCTGCGATTACCGACACACGGAACATGTCTGCTCTGCCCTGAACAGCCCATTTTACAGCAGGGCTGCACGCCAAACCTCAGCCTCCCCTCTGGCTGGAGCAAGACCGCACCGCACGTACTGCCTCAGCAAGAGCACTGGCACAGCAGCGATTCCCACGGCACGGCCGCAGCGGGGCCGGCCCACGGCACCCCAAGGAGCCCTTTTGGGGGTGCTGCTCCCCCTCTGTGCTGCTGCAGCTGCAGGGCTGGAGAGCAGGACACGGCCGTCCCGCTGTGTGAGGCAGAGCCGGAGAGCTCGATCCCACGGGTGAGTGGCCTTGCAAACCTCGCGTGACGCAGCCACAGCAAACGCTACCTTTCTTCAGCTGAATCTTCCTGCAGTGTGCAGCCCACAGCCTGGAAGAGAAGCAGAGAGGGTCTGAGAGGACGCACGAGCCTCTGTCAGAAAGAGCCGGCCATGACTGCGCAGCACCACCAGGCAGCATGGCAGCGGGAGACAGGCAATTCCAGCAAGGCTGTCTGGCAGCTTCATGCATTAATAACCATCAGCTGGCTGTAAAGCGGAGAAAGATGAGAACAACGCAGCTACAGCATTAGTTATTTAAGGCAAACGTTAGAGCCACAATACTGGACATGCTGGGATCAGCACACGAGAAGTAGGTTATACGTCAGGGAGCTGAGGCCAAGGCTGCTGTTAGGACAGCGGTACCAGCCCTCCCACAGCAGTGCAGCACTATGGCCAGGCACCGTGCTTGCCCTCTCCTCCAGGGCTGAGCCCGGGCCCGCAGAGCTGCAAAACCTCCCAGCCAGGGCAGCAGCACTGGGGAGAGAGGGCCAGGGGCCAGCACCCAGCCAGCAGCACCGGCAGCCCTGTGTGACAGTGGGACGTGTGTGCAGATGGGAGCCAGATGGGGATCACCAGGAATGCTTTGGCACAAAAAGCAGTGGATCTGGTTGCATTTTAAGAACAAAACAAGCTTGTCCAGCACTTGCCTGTGCTTCCTTTTCTTCTTCTGGGATGTATTCATCAATTCGTTTGTTGGAAGCTTGGTTATAAGTGATTCTTTCACTGCAAACTGAAAGACCTACCAAAGAACCGAAGCAGAAAGAATAAAGTTCAGTGTACTCAAGTTGGTTTTATCTAAAGCCTAGACAGAGTGTAAGCAAGCACACACAGGGGGGCTCCCAGTCCCTGAACCAGTAAGCAGGCAGTTCTGCCCCCAGTTTCACTGACTATGGCTATAAGTGCTTCTCTTGCCTGGGAAACAAGAGCACCCACCCTGCCAGTGCGCCCAGCCTCAGCCAAGGCACTCTGGAGGAAGCTAAGAGCACCGGGCATGCGCGGGGCTCGTTCTGCAAACAGCAGCAGTACTGCAAAATAACAACCCCGAACTCCACAAAGTGTTGATGCAACACATTCCTCGAGGCGGTTTGTGGCAGAGAAGAAAAAACAACAGGCAAGCAGCGGCCAAGACCTCCCTCCTGCCGCTGGGCCAGGCGCTGCAGTGCCTGCCCTCGCCAGGCACCCACCTGCTTGCACGTCTTTGTTCCCAGCAGCCTGGCGATCGAGCAGAAGTTGTTGAAGTAGGTCCCGTGGAAGACGCGGAAGGGCGACTCCTCTGCTCCCGTCCACTCGACGGGCTCCTGCGGCGTCTCCACCGCGAACAGCTGGGAGGAGGCCGGGCTCAGCTTCTGCTTGGTGGGGGTCTGGCAGCGGGAGTTTGCCTCTGGCAGGAAAGGCAGACGTTAGGCCAAGCAACATGGGAGAATGCACCCTCACCGTCACAGCTCCCAAAGGCAGATGTCCCCCCGAAGTGCCTGACACCATGCCTTGCCCTGGCCCCTACACCTCCCAGCAGCCCTGCACCACGCTCCCTGCTGCACACTCCTGCCTCCAGTCAGGTAACCCAGCGCCAGCGCTGGCTGGGATGGTGATGCTGGCCCCCTCCCAGCAAGGCAGCACCAGAGCCACCGTGCCACTTTCTCCTTCCAGGGCTGGCCCAGGACAGAGCCCCCTGATTAGGGCACCAGCACCAGAGAAGCCTGAAGACAAAGAAGCCACTCTCTCCTCTCCCATCCAAGATGGGACCCAGATGTACAGGAGCCCTCTGCCCCCCCAGGAGCTCATTCTGCCACTTCCCCCGGCATGGCAGGAGCAGCTCAGTGCTCCTCTGCAGTACCAAGGAAGCACTTGCCCCTGGCAGGTCCATAGAAAAGCCCCCCGCCTCGACAGCTCCCCAGCCACTGCTTTGTGCTGCAGCAGGGACAAGCGCACAGACCAGTGATGCCCAGGCACTGCCCTGCCAGGGGCACTTTCCTCACGCACAGCTAAGCAAGGTGCTCAGAGCTGAGGGCTCCTGGCTTTGCAGGTCGCAGCAAAGCTCTCACTTTGCCTGGCAACAGTCCTCCTTCCTAGGAGAGGACAATGAATCCCACAGCAGCAAGGGCAGGGCCTGGCATCCCTCATGTTTGTTTAAGCCCAGCTGTAAACATCGTCTCTGTTTGCTAACTCAGAACTCCACACCCCTGCGCAGGATGCGGAGGCAAGGCAGGGAGAGCCCCAGCTGCAAGGTGCCGCCTGTCCTTACTGCTCGTATGGCCAGAGAGAAGAGGGTTGTCTCTGGGGTGGCATCGTACCCGAGGAGCTAGAGGCCCACTCGTTGCCCGTGTCTCGGTCGCTGTCGCCCTCCCTCGTCTCAGCGACGGCAGAAGCCGGGGCATTTGAGCAAGAAGCACCCACCACGTGGTGCCTCCGGCGACGCCGGCCTGAGCACTTGGACCTGGGGTTGTGCAGCGCAGCAAACTCCTTGGCTCCTTCCTGCAAGCAGAGCAGAAGACAAGGCGGGTGGCAGATGACCAGAGAACACAGAAAGGCTTTTCCACAGGCCCTGGGACAAGCCCTGCCACCACCAAGAGAAGGTGGAAGACCTGCCATGCATGGTCACTTCAATGAGTGCCAAGGTCCTGCCAGCTGCCTGCACTGCACAGTCCTGCTTCGCTTCCTTCGCCCACTGCTGCTGGGTTGGAAGAGGCCCCCTGGCCCCATCCCTCCAGCCCGCTCCCCTGCCTCTTGCCCTGGCAACGAAATTATTCTGGCCTCTTCCTCTGCTCCAGCCCCACAGCTCCCTGGGACACCCCATATCCAAGCCAGCTGACCAGCTCCAACACCACCAAGTGCACCCACCCACCTCCCTGCAGCCAGCTCTTCTGATCTGCAGCTCTCATCTCTGGTAACACAGCTAGGCTGCATTTCTAAAAGATCATTTTTGAAATAGTTTGAGCCTTCCCCACACATGCCAGATTTCTTCCCCAGCATTTTTAACCTGGGCTTTGTTTTTCAAACGCTGCACTGACTCCAGAGAAATCACTTGTCAGCACAATTTCCCATTTCCTAGCTATGAAATTAGTCTTCGTTGGAGATTTGCTAAAATAAGGTCTGTATTTGGATTCAGGCTCCCCCAAATCCAATGGGGATCAGAACTAATTCTGAAAAAATCATCAAAGTTGTGAAAAGGACCCACAGAGTTCTGCTGAGCAGGGCTGGCCAGGCCACTTCTCTCGTGGTTTCAAAAGCAGCAATGCAGAAACATACCAGCCAGAGGAAACAGTCTGCTCCGCAAGGATCTGGCTCGATCTTGGTCTCTCTATTCTTTCGTTTGTACACATTAGGAGTAGCATGAAAAGCTGAAAAAATAATAGTTATCTTTACTATTAGCATCCTCCAAGGGTCTTCCCCCAGGCTGCAAGGGACAGGGGCAGCACAAACTCAACGAAGCTAAGTGGGAGCCTAAGGCAGTCAGCAAGAACACCCAAGCAGCTCCCCCAGCAGCGGGGAACGAGGTGGCAGGACCTCCTGGCCAGCCCTGCTCCAACCCATGACAGGGACTCAGCAGCACTGGGGGAACACTTGGGAAGGAGAGGCCATAGGAAAAAGATCTGCTTTCAGACTGGGGAAAAAAAAAAAAAAAAAAAAAGACCACATGATCTTAATATTTTATCTTTTAATAAATAATTCACTGGAAGGAGTCCTGTGACTTTCCAAAGAAGCCCTTAGACCTGGGAAACAGCAGGTCCAACAGCTAACCAGTATCCAAAAGGCTTTGGCAGGATAAACCGCAGGAACATGACTAAGATGAAGCTGTAAGTTCCAGTGAGGCAACAAAACACAGGGGCATGTCCAGACTTTGGAAGTGAAACATTCATGCCTTTCCCTGATGAGCTTCTGCAAAGCAAGGGTAAAGTCTAGTTGCGGCAGCATTTCTGGCACAAACTGCCAGGAGGCTCGAACGCGGCGTGCTGAACAATGGTGAGAAAGAGGGGACGGCCACGCAGGTCGGTTTACCATCCATTTGAGGAAATGAGTGGAGCCGTCTTTACAAAAGGCTTCTGGGCACCTGTCAGCTCCTAAGGCTCCACTGCAAACTCCGGGGAGGCACCACCCTCTAAAGACTGCAGCACAGACACTAAGCAAGGCGTACAGAGGTATGAAGCACTGAGGAAAAATGAGGAGAAAAAGGGCTCTAGGGAAGCGTCCGGCCGAGACTGCACTTACGATGCAGAAAACAGTCGTATTTGAAGCAGCGGCGGCAGAAGAGGGTGTGGAAGGAGTGCAGGGACTGCTCCCGCTGGACCGACTTCGCGCACGGCCCGTCTATGTTGGGAGTGCACTGCGGCGGCAGCACGTT